GTTGCCGACATCGGTCGTACAACAACTCTAATACTGTCTCTTATACACATCTAGATGTGTATAAGAGACAGGAATCTTTTCTTACGACCATTCACTGCTCAAGTGAAGCATTTTTCTAGCGACCATTTACTGCTAAAGTGAAGCATTTTTCTTACGACCATTCACTGCTCAGCTGAAGCATTTTTCTTACGACAATTCACTGCTCAACTGAAACATTTTTTCTTACGACCATTCACTGTTCAACTGAAAAATAAGGTCTCGTTATTTTATCCTCCTAGGCCAAAAGACAGATTATCCACCTAGTCTATGCAGACTTGAGAGTAGCGCAACACGTATTAGTTCTTTTCCGGCATTCATTCATGTACCGATTGCAAGACGACTGGGTTAAAGATATTCCTTTTGCTTAAATAAAAAACGATCAAATACTAAAATAAATGCTTAAAATAATTGAGTGTTTTAACAAGCTCTCAACAGGGACGCATATTCATATGTGTTGCTAAGAAAGCATTTAGGATGCTGTAGAGAAGGATAAATGACGCCTACGAGTGACATAAAAAAGACGATGTGCCAGCTTCGCTGACTGTCAAGCGAGAGAGTTGCTCCGTTCTCGCCAGTCGTTCACTAAATGTCACTCGAATGATGAGCTGGAAGATTTTTTTTCCTCTAGTGTCGAAGTTACATTCTTCAGTTTTTTCTACTTCGATATTCTTCCCTTCTTGATCTCATGAATCGGGCAAAAACCATGAAAAAATCAATTTAACAACATTCGTCTCTGTAATTTACTTAATTTATTATTTTAGCCTCAAAATGAGCTGATCTGTGTGTCAAGGCTGGTATTACAATTGTGTCTAATGCTACAGACCTTCCGGGAACATGTGGAGGTTCAGAATGTTCTGAGAAGTCAAAAGACTGCAATGAATCCGAAACGTTCAACTAAGCTCCAACAAAATCAGTACCGTGGCCTCTTCACGAATCGCGATTCCATTCGTGAGACAGCAGCTTGCTTTGAAAGCATAGAATTTTTTTGCAATTTATTTCACTAAAATTGTTTAAGAGAAAGATATTCCATGTTTTAGGTTAGTTATAAAGCTTATTCAATTTCAGTATTTTAAAAATAACTTAAATTTCGGCATTTGTTATATTTTCTAAAGATATTAAAATGACAGACAACGATTTAACGGAATTGTGATTACTTAATCAAGGTAATGCAGCGTTTTGAATATATCTTCACTTCACCTTAGCTCATGTCACGAGAATAATTTGTTTTTTTTGCAAAATAAAAAATATTGGATAGAGGGCAACTTGATCTCCGGAAAATCCTTTGCAATAGTCTGTGCATTGAATAATGTTTTCTATGAAATCTTCGAAGAAAACTTTGACGTTGAGAAACTGAATGACATCTAATCTCTGTCCCGAACTTGATATAATAGAGTATTGTGATGTCGACGCTGATGAATAGTTCTGGACTCTGGTGTGGCCTGTTGCCGATTCTTGTACTTTTTGTGACTTGTTCGCAGGAAATCTAAAAACATGTCTTTTGATGGGAACTTTTTAGAACTGACGTTAGTTTGAAGTAGCTACTAGCCTTCTAGTACTTCTACCAGGTTCGCATGGTGCTAGTCTGCTAGACTGCTAGGCATTTCAAGCTAGAAAATATATTTCTCCGTAGCTTTATCTAGTCTGTTCTTGAACGCGTTAATTAATACTAGGAGCGTCAACATCAACGATATAATCAGGGAGGCTGTTCCACATGTTGGTGTCTCGAAGCAAGAAAACGTGTTTCGCGTGGATGAGACTATGAGTTGCAACGCAGTTTTGTAGTTCATAGCCATGGCCCCGGGTGTTGGAGTGGGGGCTAGCAGCCGACCACATTTAATGTATGGACTTCTTATTATCAGGGGTTTTCAGGGCCAGGGAAACAAGAGGTATGCCAATAGGCATAACTTAGCTAGGGCGGCTTGATGTAATTGGTCAGTTAATGACAACAAATTAAAGATTGCCAGTATTTAATGTTAGCTCACGTGACTTGCTCGATTATGGTGGCCCCGAGACGAGCCGGGAGACCAGGGCACGTGGTGATGACGAGGTGTCAGGAGTGTTACGTTTGCTAGTCGTATGACTTCTAAGTCCAAGCTAGCTAAGGAGGAAGATGGGCAGAGACGAGACTATAGGTTTGGGCCCTTTGGGGAACTGTATTTGGTGGAATCTGGTATACAACTGAAGCATAAAGGCTTGCTGGCCTTTCATGACCTATACTATTTTCACTATAGTAGTTCTACTTGAATTTGATCTTAATACGTTAACACGTAACAAGGAGCACGTGGTGATGAGGTGTCAGGAGCACGTGGTGGTGACGAGGTGTCAGGAGCACGTGGTGATGACGAGGTGTCAGGAGCACGTGGTGATGACGCTGTCTCTTATACACATCTAGATGTGTATAAGAGACAGGGTGTCAGGAGCACGTGGTGATGACGAGGTGTCAGGAGCACGCGGTGATGACGAGGTGTCAGGAGCACGTGGTGTCTCATACTCTAATCTTACTGTTCCTCGTTACTCCCGAGGTGAATTACTTAACACTTGTCATCATTAAAACGCATCTACCTAGTTAACTAAACAATGAATTTCATCTTGCAATTTCACTTTATTTGACCCATCCTTGACGGTATTATAAATTTTTGTATCATCGGCATACATGGAGCACAAGCTTAACACAATAACACTACTATGACAGATCGTCTAAAAAAACAACGAACAAACAGACCCGAAAACGCTTCCTTGTGGCCACTGCACACTGTTGCCCAGCCTTATATACGGTTCCGTTAATACTGACACGTTGTCGTCGGCCTACTAGAAAATTTCTGATCCATTGGAAAATTCCCCCTCCCCGCGATTTTTTAGGAGTGTCTCTGTAATGCAAATAATGTCTGTACAATCGTTTGCGATCACAGTTAACAGTTCACTTCTTTTGTTCAAAATGGAATCAGAGTTTGTTTAGTAATATTTTGAAACTCTTTTGCACTTTCATTTTGAAGTGTGAGGAAACTTTTCACATTATTTACAGAACTGGATTTATGTACGTGACTTCTACTGTTTACTTGTTTTTCAGCTCCACTGACTGACGGCGAGCGGACGGAGTCGTGACATCGTGAGTGTAATTAACCAGATTTTCTGTGCTTCTGCGTCTGTTCCGCCCCTGCCATTTCTTGCGGAAATCCGCCCTTTCTACAGGAGTGTAATCCTTCCCAGAAACGGACTGAACTCAGCGGATTCTCCTAGTGTTCCCGCTGCCTTCTGCAAACTCTAAACCTGTGCCGGATCCCTTGCAGCACACCTGCAGCTGTTTGCAGCAGCGTTCTTGGAGCGCAGCCTCATGCACGATCCAATATCAACCGGTGTGCTGAGTGCCTTGCAACAACAGTCTGCAACCTACTAATCTCAGCCATCACTCGTTCGTTCGTCTCAGGGGCGGTGCTTTTCGGGAATGCGGAACCATATAAGGTTGCACTTTCTACGGTTTCTATCAAGTTATTCGCGGGAGCTTTCGCTAGCGACTTCAGATATTACAACGTTGTTATTATTAATGTTTATATTTTCCAACTTTTATTTATTTTTCCGCTGGGCTCTCTCTTCGATCAGCATTTTGCTTAACGAGCAATTCGTAAGTCAAAGAGCTAACTACATTGCTCAAGGTGCTTATCTCTTTCCGGTAATCCAGCCCGAAATGCTGCGAACTGAGCGAAACACTTCTCTTCCATCTGCTTTTCGCTTTTTCGGGCACTAGAAGTCAGTTTCTCACAGTATCTACAAACAAGTGGAAAGACTCGGTTCTTTGTAGAAAAAGTACTCTTCATAGCTTAAATTCAGGCAACTGATACAAATAAAACGCCATCAGCGTTTACAGAAGACCATCTGATCATCTTCTCTCAACGAGATCTCTTTGCCAAACTTGCAAACATCTTCAGATGCGCATTGCGATCTTCCATTCGATTTTTCCGGTGCAACTTGTTTCGATGAACGGTAGTCATTCTTATCTTATTCTGCTTCTTTCTTATTTGTTCAAAGACTGCCGGGTTCCTTCACTGAGATTTAGCTTAGGTCTCTCACAGTAATAAATCACCGGATGTACTCGTAATGCACAGCACAACCGCCCGACGGCAATAAAGTTGCGGCAGCTATTCGACGCAGGAAGCAAATCGGTCAAGCTCCTGTATCGTTGAATACTGCTGCCATCTCTGGACCCCGTTCAAAATCGGCGCAGTGCGGCAACTGGAAGGGGTCCAATGAACCTTCACTTCCAGGATCAGAGGGAGCGAGTTGAACTACTGGGAGAGGTTGAAGCGCCTGAGTTAGTACTCTCTGCAGAGGAGACGGAAGAGGTAGTTCATTCCGTACACCTGGAAAATGATAACCGGAATGACGCCAAACTTCGAGAGCGAGACTTTGAGAGCGATTGAGACATATCATAACGAGAGAAGGGGAAGACTGTGCAAGATCTCCTCATTACGTCAACAGATCATTAGTCAGATTTCAATCCCTGCGGTTAAGGATCACTTCCGTTTCAGGGCCGAGGCTGTTTAACGTCCTACCAAAGGGTCTAAGAGAGGCGGAGTTCACCCTGGAGGCCTTCAAAGACGACTGGACGTGTTCCTGGGCACAATCTCTGATCATCCGGCCCCTGCAATACTACCAGCGGCGAGAAGCGAACTACAGCATCGCGCATCAGCTGGCCCAAATATGGGGATGGACGCGCCATAGTCAGAGGCGGCGATCCATTGTGGCCTGGGACTGCCTCGTCCGAAACAAATACTAAGGGTCAAACCGTCAAGCTCCTGGAGTGACAAGACATCACGTCCACTCTACACGTCTCAAACTTGCGAGCCAGTGAACGAGTAAGCGAGACGGCTGAGAAAGCCTGAATTGTACCCACCGAGCTACACAACTATTATGCTGAATGCATTAAAACGTGTGAAAACTTAATTGTACACAATGAAACTTCTTACGCGCAAAATTATGTTTATTAGAGACGACGTATTGCTATTATACTTCAAAATCAATGATGAATATCAGATATAGAGGAAATTAACTTATAGTTACAATAACATATTGAACAAGTAACAACACAGTAAAATCCAAATTAATTTCAAATTTCACATCACCAATGATTTTTCTTGCATTGTCTTTTTCAGTACTTAACCCAATACGACGAACTCTAGTTTTATATGTTGATGTTTAAAGCGTGTTGATACAACCGAAAACAGCCCTGTCGTAAATGAACAAAACATTAGAAAATGATCATATCTTTTAGAAGCAGGGATTTTTTCATTCATAAAACTCATCAAAATAAAATTTTCAAAGTAACGCTAAATTATATTTCTGCAATTAATTAAAATTATATGGCATCTAAGAGAAACAAAACTTAGTGTGGAAGTCAAAAATTGATTAGGTGATTATCACAATTGGAAGGACGTTTGTTCCTTATTCCTAGTTGGTTGGTATTTTCTGGAAAATTAATGATAGAAAACATTAAGAGCTTTTTCTAGGAATATTTTCTTCCCACTTCCATCTACTAAGTAGGTTCCCTCACTACCAAATATAACTTTTGGAGTAGCGACTTCTTCTGAATTTCCTGTTTCTAACGTACTAAAGGACCTCCGGTTTGACTCTAAATTGGTTTGCGCTGCAGTTCCTTCAAAAAAAGTTTCTTTCACATTTACATCTCTCTTCATCCTATGATTTTTTCCATTGATGTGCCTTCGCGATCTGAATTTGTCTAATAATTGTTCATGATGTATAGTCTCCGCAGGTGTTTTTCTCTTTAAACGAGATTCGTGTTCCTCGTCAACAAACAAGGTTTGAATGAGGGTGCGAGCTTGAAGAACTCGTTCTTTGCGAGCATTGTTGTCACTTCTTTGTAAAAATCCCTGAAATAAATTTCTGGGAATCGTGAATAGCCTACCAGACTGCGAACGAACTGTCACAATGTCTGATTCGTCGTTAGTAGACGAAACTTTTCTAATATTTTGATCTGGCTGAATCCGTTCTGATAGCCTCTGATTAGGGGTATTGGCCAATTCAGGAAAGGCAGATAGGTTGTTGCTTGACTTCAAGTTGCCGGAGCTCGGGTGTTGAGTTTTGGATAACCTAAATATTTCTTGGGGTTGAGCAAAAGGAAGGGGCTGTGGCATGCCTGAGAGCAACTGAGGCTGAGATGAACCCAAATTCACAGTTGATGTTGACTCCACAGTGAACTGATTTCGTCTGCTTGTAGTTGTAGGAGGAACCTCGAAGATCGGCATTGTTTTAGAAAACATGAGGGGAACTTTTACTGTATTCGCTTCCTGCTCATTTGTTTCAAGAGCAAATTGTTGCGATCCTTGATTAATAAGCGCATTAACGTTTCTAGAATCAAGATGAGAGCTGTTGCTAGGAATCTCATGAGTGGAAAACAGTTTTGCTCGTTTGATAACTGGAGATCGTTGTCGCAAGGTTTCTTTTGCTACGCTCGGACGCACCGAGCGAATTCCAGCTTCTTCGGGAATCACTATAAAATTCGTACCGTTAGGTTTGACATTGTTAATGGCGTCCCCAGGAACTACGCCTATCGGTGAGGTCTCAGTGTGGGACAAACTTTTTTGGAGTTGTCGGAATGGTTGAAAATTCTGTTCAGCGAGCTGGATGAGTTGACTGTCGATTGATGGGTCTTCGAAGGCAAACTGCGTTGGAACTCGGCTTCTATCGGTAGATAGTAAATTACGTTCTTCTACTTTCGAAATTAGTCGTGCACCACGAGCATTAGGAAATTCAGGGGTAAAAATAGGCACAGGCGAAGCAGGAAGAAGCTTACGAGTGGCATCAGGTCGTTTGAGTACGTCGTGAGCGTCCTTGAATGACTGCCTACTAGCTTCCACCACATTTCCTCCTATACCAAAGGATTGCAAGATGCCCAGCGCTCCTCGCCCGTTAGAGGTTCGCACCAATGGTCGTGTCTCAGGTAACGGGCTAAGCAACCGCTGGTTTTCAATTCCCTGGAAATGTGATAAGAACTGTTCCTGGGTCAAGACTCGTATATTTTTATTCTGAGGAACTCCTGAAGGTAGGCCGAGCAAGGCAGACGAACGCGCATCTAATGGAGTCGAAGGTTCAGGTCGAGGAGAAAATTCAATTTTCGAGGTTACATCTGCTGATGGAATATTTCCATCGAGTCGAATGATTCTTAACGGTTTCAGAGCGATTCCTTCGGTAAGCACCTTCGTTGGTTTCTCAGCTTCAGATTTTATCAAATCTGTCACGTCTTGATTTCCACTCGTCGATATAGTCGCCGAAATATCTTCACTCAATTGTTGAATCGTTTCTGTAACTGAACTTGCAATAAAAGATTGCAATTGGTTTCCTGGAAGTTCTTGGACGTTGGGCGAATCCACGAGAACCGGAAGTTCAGCCGCATTTTTGACCGCCAAATCTCCGTCTCGACTAGATGATAGTATTGAAGAATCATTAGTAATTAGAGTTTGGTCGTCAGCTGGAATTTCTTCAACCCCTGAAATCAATTGTTCGATCGTCAAACGATTTCCGCTATCTGGAGTCGTTCCTCGTTGCGCTGAATTTATAGAGGTAACTGAAGTCTCAACTGTGGTGCCGAGTTCCTTACCGGTTTTCACATCTCCAGTTTCTTCCATTCGCTTGCGTAGTATTTCCATTAGTTTATTATTCAATCTATCTTGAATTGCACCTTCTCGTGCAGCATCTACAGTAGCATTTTCAACAATGACTTCTGGTTCCACGTGTTTTTCTATGATAGTTTTCATGTCATTGAATCGGTGACTTAAGTCGCCCTCGGTAATAATTCTATCGAGTTCTATTTTTCGATTAACTACTCCCGACTGCTGTTCAACGGTATTAGGGTCCGCTGGAATGGCCGGACTGGAATTTTCAATCGCCGGCTTGTCCTCTCCCCCGGGATGAGATTCCGTCCTGATGTCGGAGTTCAATTGATCTACCATGAAGTTGCTAATTGAATCTTTTGGAGAGCTGAGTATTTCTGGCTCCTCCGGGATGGTAGACCCAGCAAATGTTTGGAACGTAGTGTTCGTTAAAATTTCAGACTCGGTTGCCTCCGTAATGGAAACATGGCTTTTTCTTGTGCTATCTGCTGACACATTTAATGACTTTTGGAGAGGCTGCTTTCGTCCTTGAATCATTTCCATCAACCTAGCATTCAGTTCATCTTGCAGTTCAACGCTAATTTTGGTCTCCGCTTCACCAGTTGTCCCATTTTCTTCAGTTTTTTCTACTCCCTGATGACTGCTTGAAATGGAAGGGCCTAAACTTTCAATTATTGTCACCTGATGTTCAATTTTCGGAGTAACTTCTGTCTCCTTCGGGGCTGCCATTTCGTTTTCAACAATACTTGTTTTTGATTCCAGTACGGGGGAAGCAGAAAATTCCACTTCAAATTTAGGTTCTGAGATTACCTTAACGGGCGCTGCAATAGAATCTTGATGGACTTGAAGTGATGGGACAATATCAACAGATTTTTTATTCATTGCTTCTGCTCTCTCGCGAATCATTTGCATGAGCCTAGACTTGAATCGTTTTTGCAACTCTTCCTCTAAAGTTGAGTTAGATTGGTGAGATGATCGCAGCTCAGAAAACTCGTCAGGAGTTTCTGTTTTTGCTTTTCCTATTTGAGAGGGAGGATTTACGAGCGATTCCCCATGCATACTGATAGTTGCCAGCTTTGGCTCACTGTCAGTAACACCCGTATTAAAATTTGTCTCAACCCTATCATGCTGAATTACTTGTATTTCTTTTTCCTGGGGATGGGCATCCTTTCCATCATCTAATGAATTAAATATCGGCAATGCAGTTGCTGTCGAGTTTCGAGTTATATTTTCGGCCTGTTCTTTGATCATTTGCATTAGACGAGCATTCAAACTTTGCTGCAGGGTCGAATTTCTTCGATCATCGATCGCAGCGCTGATGAGTGGATCGCGTGCATCTTGAACTACACTGTCTTGAAGCAATGATTTGCCAATAGTATTTGGCTGAACTATTGGGTCCAGGATTTCTTGTTCGATTATCTTTACGTCTCCATTAATTTCTTCCTGAACGGATGATGTTGAAGCAAATGATGGTTTCTCTCCTTCAATTTGTCCTGGTAAATTTTCTAACTGGGCACCAATTTCCAGCAGACTTTCTTTTCTTTCTTCTAAACCCGCTGGTGGGATGATGTTATCAGGTGACTGAGGAGTGTCCTGGAACTCAGGCACATTTCCAAATTCTATTATATCAGGTTCTACCATAAAATCTTGCGAGTCTGTTAAAACGTCCAGTTCTCGAATGTTCGCCGGCGTTGCATTTTCTACCAAATGAGGAAGATTTTGTTCAGGTATAGATATCTCTTCACCTTGAGCAGCAAAATCAGATGGGATCTCCTCGACAAAGGTAGTCAGAGCGGAAGATGAATCAAAAACTGTTTCCGGAGTCAAGTCTGGTATTTGAATGGTATCCAATGCTACCGACCCTCCGTTAACATGTGGAAGTTCACTTTGTCCTGAGAAGTCAAAAGACTGCAATGAATCCGAAATGTTCAACTCGGCTCCAACATCAGTCCCTTCGTCAAGAATAGCGGTTCCAGTCGATATATCAGCCTGCTCTGAAAGCATGAAGGAATCTGTAGCCTGCTGCACGGAAGCAACCCCCGAAACAGTAGCTACACCCTGATCCTGTTCAAATCCTGCATCAAAGTTAACTGTGGCTAAGTCAACTTCGGGCTGCGCGGGGCTAAAAGATGTTCCCGCACTAGCGTCGTGTTCAACTGTAGCTGCCTGTCCAGCAGAAAATAGTGAATCCGCGAACAATTTTTCAGCTGGCGAGGCAGTTTTGTCGTTAATTGATGAAAATGATATCAAATTTGAGTTTTGAATGGTATCTTCATTACCGCCTGCTACTTGCCCATTTGAGTGAGAAGAACTTCCTAGCATTTGTGACAACGTGCTGTCATCTTGAGTAATGATTGATGCAGTGCTCAGAAATTGTTCATGAGGCAAGCTCGATAGCAGTGGGACGCCGAACTCTTGACTTTTAATAGAATCATTTATTATCTCTATTGGTTCTAACGTGGAACTCGCTTCCTGGTCTCCCTCGTGATTAAAATGTGATGTTGAAAATTTTACCAACTGTGCGTTGTCATCAACATTTGAATCCAGCGTAGGGCTGTCCAAGTTGAACGTCGAAAAGGAACTCGCTTCTGCGTTAGACACCTTTGTCGCGTCAGGAGTGAGTTTTGACTGAGATGTGGCTGCCAGAAGAGAAGGTAAGCCTACGCCTGGCTCAGTTATTTGCAATGAAACGTCTGAAGCGAAGTCAGAATTATCTTGTGCAGTTGGTGAGGGGAGGCGAATCCCTTGGTTTGATAGCCTAGACGCTTGCATACGTGAAATTATTTCGATGGGGAGTTGCGACGGATGAAGTTCTTCCAGTTGGAATTGAAAGTTTGCAGAAGAATTCAATTTTGTCTCATTCTGACGGGCATTCAAGATGTTCATCAGTCGATGTCTTATAACTTCCCTCACAAGACCCTCGCGCCTTGCGCCAGCGGGTACTCCTGAAGACTCCAGTTTAATGTTAGACATGAATCTACCAAGCAAACTGCTGCTTCCTAATAAAGTCTCATGTTCGCGAGCCACTCCAACTGTAGGGTTGAGTACTATTGGTTTAGATGGAATGGCAATCGAAGAGGAATCAGCTTCGCCGGTGTTGGATATGGCACCCGCAATCAATTGCACTTTGTTGGCCCTAACGGTGTTCGGGGCCGTGAAAGGTACCAAATTAATTTCGTCGCTCACGTCATGATTTATGAACTTTTCACTACTGCCCAATGCAGAAGTACGCGAGTCGCCTGATTTCTCTTTATGCGATGACACTAACGTCGCTTCGACAGGTTTTGCAACTTGAATATTTTCATTCACCTGCGCTTCGCCAGGAAATTCACCTTTAAATTCGTCAATGGAGACTGGAACAGCTGTAACTATTTCTACCGTCATTGTTTTTCCGGATTCATGCGTATTCGATCCACGTGTCCCAGTTAGACGCTGGCCATGGGGAGACGAGTTCTTCCTATTAGCATATTCTTGTGCTTGACTCTCTCTTAAGATCTGACTACTTGTTGTTTCAGATAAATTCTTAGAATTGCGATAGTTTTCGAGGAATTTTGCATATCTGTTTGTTATTGCTTTGATTTCTTCTTCTGAAATCTTAATGGTGGCTTTTCTCTGTGAGTCTGGTGCCGTTGAATGAACAATTTCTGCTTTAATCTTGAGCCTAGGAGATTGATCATGAGGATTTGAGGAGGGGCGAATTGGGCTTATTTCGATGGGTATTCTGGCAGACGGAAATTTTTTGTTTATACTATCGTGAGATCTGATTCCTTCAAGCGTTTTCTCTGTCGCAGATTCAATTCTGAAGAACGATGTGGCTTGATTCCTACCGGATTTTCCTTTTTGACCGCTCAGATCAGGCTGCGCAACTTCCGAGGCAGTTAATTTCGTCGTCGTCAATCTATCGACATTAAGGCTTTGCCCAACTGCCGCCTGTTCCGAAGAAACCTTATTTTTTAGGCTTGATTGACTTCCAGGCAATTGAAAATGAGAAAGTACCGGATTTGTTGTCTTTTCTGAAGTTTCAGAATTTCTGCCCCTTGAATAAACATTTTTGAACACATTTCTGTTGAAATTTTCATTCACTTTCACGTCTTTGGAATTCAACATTTCAGCCTCACTACTTGGATCATCGTCCATTGCCACTAGAAGCTGCATCAATTTACTTATGAAATGATCTGTTTCTTTATTTCCGAGTTCGGCCACGTAGCCTTCCACACCTTCTTTGAGCTCTCTATATTCCAAGTGAATTGGTTCTCCGCGCTTACTGAACTGAGAACTAAGAGCCCGAATAGCAGAGACCGAAAGATCCTTACCATCAATTACAGGCAAGAAAAGCAGCTTTTCCTCGCTTATATCTTTTTGCGTTTTATAAGTTATTTTACTAGCGCTGAAATGCTTTGCAGATTCTCGAGCCAAATCGGCTTTGATGCTGTCACCTCCTTGCTCTCTGAGAACGATGAATGCTGGGAGGCCATCATCTTCCTCACTTGAATCTTCATCACTGTCTTCGGTCTCTTCTTCTTCATCACTTCCTTCATCTTCGTTTTCATTATCGTGTGATTCACTTTCCTCTTTCTTTTCTTTCCTCTTTTTCTCGTCTTCGTCGTCTCCGGCCGTATCTTTTGCTCCGTAGCGTTTCCCAGAACCATGATCTCTATTTTCACCAAATGAACTGGAGCCGTGGTTAGCTATCGTAAAGAAAGAAATCCCACTGGTATCTGTTGCTTTATTTTCCACACTATTTTTTGGTTCTCTTTCATTTTGGTCAGCTTTCTCATTATCGGCTGAGGGTCTTGAAACTTCCACATCTGAAGTTTGTTTAGACTGAGATTTTATTTCGCTAATTTTCGGTACTCTAAGGAAATGATCGTAAGCAGATTTTCTGGGTTCTGATAATTGTGATCCCGGTTCAGAGACTCTACTGTCTTGGAAATTCTTTGATGCATTTTTAGTACTCGTCACCGAAGATTTTGGATCAGTAGTGTCTTCAAGTTTTGGAGAATTTTTGTTTGCTAGCTCGGTGACAAGAGGGGGCTGTGAAGCACCCTTTAACTTGGGAGCCTTGGGAGAACCAACAGAAGATGTGCTCGAAGTAACGCGCGAGACAATTTTAAAGAATGATGGAACCCTTCTTTCAGGTACAACTTCATTTGCTTTTTCATTTTCATCTATGTCTAATTTCACTTCATTTTTATCATTTTCTTCTCCTTCGTCCTTTTCTTCTCCTTCGTCCTTTTCTTCTTCACTGTTTTCTTCTCCTTCATCACTTTCACCCTCTCCGCTGTCTTCCTCGCTTTCATCACTCTCCTCTCCGCTCTCTGAGCCATCATCTTCCTCTGACAAAGAAGCAGCAGCTTCGTCCCTAGGAAAGACCTCCTCAAACGTCCTTTCACCTTCGTAGACATAACCTCCCTGGACAGCCGTTTTGGACCTGAAAATTCGGTTTAGCTAATTAATATTTCTACTTGATTCAACTTTTCTTAAAGTCAGTCTTATTCTCCCTTTATTACTATCGCTCCTGGGCCCATGTCAAGGCAAGACAATAATAATTCGTATTACTTGTTACTCAGGTCACCCCCGTTCTTCCTCTTACTGTCACTAATGCACAGTTATCTACATGCTTTTCCGAAAAAACTATTCTTTTGACTATATCGCAGGCAAACTAACAGATTTTTTGCAAAAAAATCGTACTTAATTCCTTGGAAAAGGCCTTCGTGCTTGTGATATCCATATTACCTGCTACCGTTGTCATCCTCATGAGCGGCCTCATCATCGTCGCGATTTGCTGACGCCGTCGGGACTCCGGTCCCATACGGCCAAGGACGCTCAGATGCAGGCTGCCTCTCACGCGTGGACAGCGGTGAGGCATCGCTGGGCGGGGGCACCGCCAACAGAACTGCCAACGCCAGTGACAGTCGTGCCGTCCAAAGCATCGTCACCTGAAAAAAACTGCGTTTATGAGTCCAATGCTTAAATTTCTGTAATATATATAAATATATATTATACAGAATATGACGTGATATAAAGATGGTTGTGTTTATGAGTCCAATGTTTAACGGAGCTTGTGAAGTGTCATTGTCGTAATTAACTCTAACAATTGATCGTAATTGATCGTACCCACGAATTTATGAAAACAGCAACGTTTATGAGTCCAATGCTTAACGGAGCCTGTAAAGTGTCATTGCCGTAATTAACTATAACAATTGATCGTACCCACGAATTTATGAAAACAGTAACGTTTATGAGTCCAATGCTTAACGGAGCTTGTGAAGTGTCATTGTCGTAATAACTCTAACGATTGAGCGTACCCGTAAATTTATCAGCCATTTGTTATGACACTTTGCAAAAATTAGCTATTTATATTGGCATTTGGCAAAATGTGTTAGATGTTAATTCTGATGTATATTTTTAGTATGAATAGAAAATAATTCTGAAACATTTCAAGTGTCCGCTCTGAGATAGTGAGCAATTGCTAGCACTTTGCGCATGTGAATGTACGTGTTATCTGTGGTTTTGTGACGAAAAGAATGAATTGCCTCAATGAAGTAAATCATTATCTTTAATGGATGTTTAATGGATAGGAATTATTCAAATTTCTCAATTTTACTGTAAAATAGTTGGATATTACTCGTAATTTCTTCCACGATACATGCCTGCACTTTTTCATATTTCAAGGTCAGTTTCTTAAAGGTTATGAGCTTCTATTAAGCACTTTATTCTCCTGCGTTCATCCATAAACATATCATCGTTAACAATTGGATTAACTTTAATCTCATCTTTTTAGCGCATTTTCTCATTTATGGAAAAAATGCACTATTGTGCTCGCCATGTCTGTCTGTCTCTCTGTCTGTCCGTCCGTCTGTCCGTGACCTCAAGTTTTCGTCGACGAGAAAATGCGCTCTATATGTCACTCACTGCAGTGAGTACTGAGTTATATTTTTTTCCTGATAATGCGACCTGTGGCTCAAGCATGTGGTCATGGTCAAGTGATCGCATCTGTTATCTGCCTAAATTCATTGCCCTCGCTAAGGTTCGTTCACTGCAGGCTGCGGGCAAGGGCATCGCCGTGTGTAAAGCATCTTATAAAAACTCGTTAATTAAGGGCAAAAAGTTAAAGTTGATAAAAAAATTTAAAGGGTGTGGGAGTTGTGGTGGTTGCATATTATATTGTCCTAAATATTGTACAGCATATTAAATTGTATTGTGGTGGTTGCATATTATACAGCAGTCTTGCGAGAAGTATTACCGGAAAATTCGAATAGAAAATTGAGAAATGCACCGATGCTGTTACATGTTTCCAGAGGCCATGCATGAAGTTAGCGATGATGAATACAGAATAAGGCTGAGAACAATTGTTCATTTATGGAAGTGAATCATCACGATCTAGATGTTAAACTAAAGGAACGAATAGATCTTGTTCCGAATCTTGACTGCCTTAATATTTTGATACAAACAATCAATCAATCGAAAAAAACTTCATGGAATGATCACTTATCGTCGGTGGGTAATTACATTACTATACAGGTCTACGAACAATACGAAAAGGTTTGGGATGAAAATTATTCGCAGTTGAGGTTGATATTTCTCCGTTACTTATCATTACAAAAATATCATGAACAAATAGAAAGCTACATTAAAGCTTGTACTTAGTGCTGTGCATGTTTCAGTATCAATAATTCCATATTTATGCTCGTGAGAACAAAACGATTTAGTGGAATACATGTCGCAAACAGCACAGAAGCCGAACAATAATTATTACGGGAACTCTGCACAATAGATATTAATAAATTATTCAAAAGAAGAAAGGTCATAAATAACGTTAACTACAGAAAAACGCAATTGCCATTTCACGCCAATTAAAAAATAAATTGGATACAAATTAGACAAATACAATTAATTGTTAATTAATTTGAATCAATTGAACTGTTACTTATATTCCATTTTCCGCAAAAATGTACTACAAGTGTTTGCACCTCTATGTATGTAAATAACTCCTCATTTCTATTCAGATTATTTAGATGATAAATCGTAAACATCGTTTATCGTAAGCTATTTATAACATTATATCGTTTATACTTGATTTAACCTATCCGGCTGTTTAACCAACAGCTAACCCTTCAGGTGGCAGGAAGGCATGCAAGACGCACTGTGCCCATGCGTATTTTTAGCCTTAATATCAAGCTATTTCATTCATAATTATTACTCACAACATATAGTGAAACTTGGATCCCGCTTTTCTGTTTTTCTCTTGATATATATTATATTATTCACTTGATATATTGTCATCATTGCCAATGTCAAGTCTGTGATGATCAAATCTTGCAATCGATATTTCACCAACTTTCCCGCTAGCTAGCACTCTGAAACTTTTAGGGAAGCTCAGCTCCCGATAACAATACAATAATCAATAATTTGTTGCAAGTTTCCAGGCGTATTTATTACCGAACCTTTCTTTATAACAGCCACGCACCCAGATAAATACGGGAACAACAATGTATCCCCTCGAATACAATTCTCTACAGAACTTCAAAAAAAATTTTCTTTCGTGCATTTATGTGGCCAACTGAAATAAAATGAATATTATGTAGGATGGTTGACCTATGTGCAGTAGTTATAAACTCTAAAGGAAGAGGAACTCACAAGCAGGGGTTGGGAACCTTTAATGCACGTCATCCTCGAGAGGATATTCGTGTTTGGACTGCGTATATCGATGATACGCTGCGTATCATCGATACGTACGTCAAGTCAAGTAAATTGGCTCGCAACAATGTTTTTCATGTGTAGCAACGGACTAAAAAGGAGAAAATAAAATACTTAAAAAGTAGAAAATAAAATGCATAAAAAAAATTTTAAAGACCACGTTTTTCATGTGGACTCAAAAGTAGAAAATAATTTTACGGCAGCTAATGATCTCTGTTTGCTTTCATTCTCTTTGTCTTTTGTATTTCAGTTAAAATATTTTACAACATCTAAAACAAAAAACGTCTCTCAATTAGGGTCAAATTATTCATATATACATTGTTATTTACTTATTAGCACGTTGACTCCTATTGCTTCATTTCTAACTATAATTTCATTTTTTGTACTATTATGAAACAGGGTTGCCATAAGAACTTTTTTTATTGCGTTGGCCGGCTAAAATTTATGATAGGGGTACTTCTAAGTTAAACTTTAAAACCTAAAAAATAGATGTAATTTTTGTACCGGAACCTACAAATATACTTGAATATAAAGAGTTATATGCCTTTTTTGTTCGCGAACTTGGCTGTTTTTATCGCATTTTCTCATTTGTGGAAAAAATGCACTATTGTGCTCGTCGTGTCCGTCCGTCTGTCCGTCCGTGCGCTCTCTCTTTCACTCACTGCAGTGAGTACTGAGTTATATTTTTTAGTTTGTCTGACAACCCTGAATTATATACCACTTTGTCCTGGAGAAATACACTTCTTGATACGGACATGAACCACTTCGGAGTCAACGTGCTAAATGTTGGTATAACAGATGCTATTGGATTCCTGGATGTTGGAAGCTCAATGGGATGCACAAGTAGAATTAAACAAAACATCCATAGATTCGAATATGTATGATTATAAACAGTATTCGAAAGCTGTGTGTAGATAATCATTATTAATATTTTTATTTATTTACCTAATATAAAAGTGTTCCTTTTTCCAAGCATGTTCGTAACAAAAATTTGTACCACTATTAAGATCAAAAATTGCAGTTATTGTTAAATGCATAATAATTAAAAATCTCTGTACTTGCGGCTCATGAAGCACTGCACGGACAAGTAGATAAATGCATGCTAGGCAGTTGAAAAAGCTACAGTATAAATAAAAATCTCTGTACTTGCACAGACGAGTAGATATAAATGCATGCAAGGCAGTTGAAAAAGCTACAGTACAGATGCACCTCGCCTCTGAAAGGCTCGTAATCTCCAAGGCCTCAACAAAAACACCGATTTCCATATTGACGTCCAGGAGCAAATGTAGGGCGATGCCAAGTTCACCGAGAAAAAACCACTTGACATTTTCACTTGCCCCTGGATCGACTTAGAATATTCCACTACCAAAGCTGTCTCTTAAACCCTTAGGCTTCTTCATGTTATCATTGTCATGGTTTGCTCCAGTGTCATTGTCATGTCATTGCTCCAGTTTTCAGTGCGTTTCTTTGTACTTATTGCAATATAGGGATGTCCCTGTTAATAATTTTTTTACTTCTTGAGATTATAATATTAAATTTTCAACCAAGGAATGAATAAAATAGTGCAAGGTGCAACAGAAATGTGGTACCTCATGGTATGAATCACCTTATTATAGGATTATTATGGTAACTCCTTGATAAACAATTCTATAAACATTTTTACTCTATTATATTCCACTCTTTAAACTTGATGATAGAAAATTTACATTACCTACCCCTTCATCGCGATGTCATTAATTCTATGACCCCAACCTGGTTTTGTAAGTTTTACGTTTGATTTTACCTTAGATTTTGATGTTATCGGGTAAAAGAAATTGATGATATCAAAATAAGCAAATCAAGGTACGCCAAACAAAACAAGCGCACAATAAAGAATGGATTCAATTATCAATTAACACCCGCTGCGACGTGGCGCTACAGGGGATCGCTTGAATGGGGTGCAAGGTCGAATGCTTCTCCAAAACCTCGACTGAACTTTGATGAACGATCTAGATTTTTGTGGGGCTACTTTCGCTGTCGACAGCTTGGGTAAAAAGTTGCATTAACTGATCTGTTCAGTTGAATAGTATGGTCTCATGGAGAGGCACTTAAACAGACCTTGAAATGCAAGTATATGGTAGACTGCGCATTTGCAATGCAGATGTGAGATCATATACATTAAACTCTTTCGGATATATTGATGCTCTCATGGAAGTTTTAGTCCAAACATATCAATTATTGGTTACGTCTGCAAAGTTAT